CCAGGTGTAGGAATTAGACCTACATAACAGCTGAGAAGCAGGCACAGTGGCTAGTAGGCCTTTTGTTAATTTCTCCATTTCATAGAAGAGGAAAATAAGGCTCAAAGGACCAGGAGGGTGATGGGGCCCCTGCCTGCTGTCTGCAGGATAAAACGGAGAGATTACGCACTGGAGACTGGGGGAGCCATCTACTTTGCCATCTTCATCATCATCGGTGGCATCATAGGCATGAACCTGCTTGTTACTGTGGTGATCAGGAATCTGGAGCAAATAATGACACAGGAACTAGAGCAACAACAGCACCAAAAAACATTTAGTGAGGTTTGTGGGACAGGGAGGGCAGGAGGGAGGGAGGGTGTGTGTGAATGCTGACTTGAGTTTATGTGTCTGTGTGAGTGTGTGCTTGCACACTCAAAGGCCTGGAGAAAGCCAAGCACAGGACCTGGAGGCGGGACTCCCATTTGAACTGCCACTCACCATCCAGGACTTGTGAGGGGTATGGATTTCCTAGATGTTATGTTTCCATAGTAATTCAAAACTGAGCGGTTGGGTGGGCTGAGGCATTTAACCGATTTAATCAATTTCTTCTTCTGTAACATGGGACTAATACTACTACTTACCTCACATAGCTGCAATAAAGGTTATGTGGGTCAATGAACAGTGTTTGGCACATAGTAAGTGCTCAATAAATGTCAGCTACAGCATATTTATTGAAGAGAACTTCCATAAAGGTGGAAAGGGAAGTGGAGTACAGTACTTCCAGAAGGGCTGCAGTAGTACTCTTGGAGGCTGAGACAGGAGGATTGTAAGTTTGAATCTTGGCTGGACAACTTGAGGACTTAGTAAGTCCCAGTCTCAAAATTTAAAAGTGGGCTAGAGTGCTGGGTGTGGTGGCACACTCCTGTAATCCCAGCACTCAGGAGGCTGAAGCAGAAGTATTGCCATGAGTTTGAGAACAGCCTCAACTACACAGTGAGTTCAAGCCCCACCTGAGCTACATAGCTAGACCCTGTCTCAAAAAACCAAATGAAACCAAAAAGATATGTGGGGTTGGGGGCCCTTACGGAGAGTAGGTTGAGTTCTACAAGTTTTCTGGGTAGGACTTATCTGGGATGAAATGGAATAGTGAGAGAACTTCCAAAGAGGTAGGGGAATGGGTATGTGCATTTGAAGTTGAGCTCTTATGGTTAAGGTGGAAGGATTAGATTGATTGGAGCTAAGGGCTGGGGGTTCAGCTCAGTGGTAGAGGCTAAGCATGCTGGAGGCCTTGCACTCCATTGACGACAGAGACAGAGACAGAGAGAGATTGGGTCATTAGAATCCTGCTGTCCAATTCTAACAGACTCCTCCTCCCTGAAGCCACATAGGCTGGGGTGAGGTTCCAGGCTGTGTCTCCATCTCTCCCCAACCCTCCCCTGTAGACGGGTGCAGAGAAGGAGGACTGGAGTCACGAGCTGCCACTCCTGCACTGTGCACTTGCCCGCATGGAGAAAGCTGATCTCCACCAGGAACCTCTTGTGGGGAGTCCCATGTCGAACCTCTCAGAAAACATGCTTGACAATTTCTGCTTGGTGCTCGAAGCAATAGAGGAGAACTTGACTCAGTACAAGAAGATCAGGGAGGAGCTCGACAAGTAGGATATGTACTGGGGTCCTCTGGGTCCTGTGAGTCAGGGTGGAGAGGAGTCTCAGATTCTTCTGGCCCTCACTATTTTCTAATGCAGACCCTGGGGCCCAAAGAGGTTAAGTAACTTGCCCAGGGTCTCTCAGCCTGTTGGTGGAGGAGCTGAAATCTTGACCTCTATGTTCCCTCTGTCTCACAGGAGGGCACAGTTCAGTCTGGGTGTTCACCAGGCCTGGGGAGGGTGGAGGGGGAGTGCACACCATGGAAGAGGAGGAAGAGCGGCCCACCTTCAAACACACTCCTCTCTCTGCCCCAGCATTGTGCAGAAGGTACGCGCCATCCCCTTCAACCAGGAGCAAGTGGAAGAGCTGATGCGTAGGCCCTTGTCAATGACCCTGATGGAGAGCGGTTCTTCCATAGACCTGCAGAATATAGCTAAACAGCAAGATTTGTTCAGTGCACTGGTTAGCAGAGCAAAGGTGCGCTTTCCTTCTCGTACCTAATCAGCACTCGCCCCAGCATCCAATCCAGTCCCTGCCACTAGTCAAGGTCAATGTCTGTTCCAAGATCTGTCTGTCCCCTCCGCTCCCACCCACCAGAGTTAGGTCCCACCCTTCCCTTCTCAGAGGCCTTGCAGCCCGGCACCAGACTTTGCCTTATGAGTCAGTTTCTTTACTCTTGCAAACCCACTCCTTTTTTGTGTGGCTTGAGCCAGCTCAGCTTCTCCCCAGAGCCAGATTCTTAGCTCCACCATGGGCAAAGGACCCCTGGATCCCATTTAGGGTGCATAAGAGCAGTCTCCTGAGAGAGTAAGCTTCTAGGTGGAAAAAGGACATACTCATCTTGCTTAGTGCCTCCCACCCACCCCTGTGCTCCCCATCCTGCTGGGATAGAATGTCCTGAAACTGTGGGAATGCTTGGGCTCCCTGGTCCCCAGCAAACTACAATTAGACTTCTGGACGGCCTGGATGGTGCAGTTCTACCTTGCACCAGCTCTACCTTGGAGGCTGGAGGGGAGAAGGGGAGAGTCTGTAGTGTCAGGCAGGGGGAATGACAAGACCTCTTGATTTGCAGGTTTATGAGTCTGTAACAAACACGGCACTGAGCAAACACAAGATCAGCCTCTGAGAAGGCAGGATGGGAGCCAAGGGGCCTTCGCACATAGCCAGCTGCGCGTCTTCCTGCATCCTGAGCACGGCCTGGTGAGACCAGGCGTGTGCACTGACAATAAAGTGTTGTATAGGAATCTGTGTCTGACTGGTAATCTCTCACACTCACGTCTCTTGGGAGAAGATAAATTATCCTTTTATTTGGGGGAAGAGAATCTGTCCCCCTCAAAATTTCTGACTTAATAGTAGAGATAGAAATCCTGCTCTTAGGGATCTCAGTGTTGGGAGAAAAACTCTAGGCTTCACAGGCCCCCACCTCCTGTACTGTTCCCCACCTCCAGGATCTCCAGACAGCCTGCAAGTCTGCCAGGCCTCCCAACCTGCACCTCTAATGTAACAGGACCTCATATCACCCCCAGATTGGCTGTATCCTATCAGGTCCCTTACTTACCCGTACATCTCCAACTCGCTGCACCCTTGTCCATGCCCACCTCTACATGCGCTCAGAATCCCAGCTCTACCTTGGAGGCATGTCTGCCCACACTCAGTATACCCTGACTCCAACTTCACTCAACCTACCACCTTTTTCTACAAAGTACTACTGAGGTAGGAGAAAAAGAAAAAATGATAAAAAAGACAAGGAAATCAAGATTTTAAAGTTATAGACACAAGCTATAGACTCAAGCCTTTTTCCCTTCCAGAAAACTCTCAAAAAAAAAAAAAAATTGTATAGGTCTTAGATAATACGCCAGTGAACCCAGGGTACTGACCTGTCCTTTTCACTGTGAATTGTGCTTCCTACATCCCCAAAGCAGGCAACAGTTTTGGTGGGCAACATATCTCAACTTCAAACATGTGGAGATGGCTTGCACCATAAACTGACTGTATGTGTTGTGGCTTGTTTGCTGCCTTCTGCCTGCCCTGCTTTGCCATGAACTGTTTCTCCTCCGTGATGCCCCTCTGCTGTGCCTCCCTGCCTTAGAGCCATCTGACTACGGACTGAAACCTCTACAAACCGTGAGTTAAATAAACCTTTCCTCCTTTAACTTTGGATGTTTGGTATCTTGTCTCAGCAATGAGAAAAGTAAGACAGTACGAATACACACCCTGGAGGGCCCCCTCTTAAAGACACCCCATTAAATAACATGAAATATACCCAGTTCCACCTAATAATGGGTATCATTTCTCTCTGAGCTTTCACACTGGATTCTCTAGTCCTAGAATCTCTAACAAACCCTTTTCATGTCTCTTACTGATGTGTCCTAAAAATTCTTTTTCTGAGATGAGTCAGCAAACCTGCAAATTTTTTCTGCAGGGGTGAGACAGGTTCCTCATCTTCAGTCTCAGGGACCCTCAGACCCCGCCCAATGACACCACTCTGGCCAAACTCTCATGTATAGCCTTGCCTGTGACAGTGGTATGGGATGGAGGTCTTCAGGTTGATTTCCAGGTTTGTGGTGCCCAAAAAACTGAGCAGGACATCTAGAGTAGGAAGAATAAAATTTAAAAAGATGTAACAAAGTGAGCGAAAGACTGAGAGAAAGTCAGTGAGAAGAGCTTCCAGATCCCATAGGGGCAGGTACTGAGTTTCTTAAAATCCTGGGATTATGGAGGGGTCTATAGCTGAAGATTGACAGGATTGAGTTCCAACTCGCCTGTTGTGGGGGCGGGGAGGGGGCTGATAGCGTAAGGTTTTTACAAGAAATGTGGTGGGGTCCAAAGCCAACTGAGGGGGTACAAATCACAATGCAAGCAGGGCGTGGTGGAGCATGCATGTAATACCAGCACTAGGGAGTCTGAGGCAGGGGGAGTGCCAAGAATTCCAGGGCAGCCTGAGCTACATGTGGGTTCAAGACCAGCGTGAACTATATAGCAAGGCCGTTTCAAAAAACAAAAATGGAAATGAAGCTGGCTGCAGACTAGAGTCCTGTACTTTCAGGTTTGTACATACTTGAGGGTCTTGAGGGAACAGAGTGACATTCTAACATACCCGTCCTCGCTCTAGTTTCCAGTCTTGTCCCAGGGCTTTCTGAGTTTGTTTATCCTTGCTCTCTCTCCTATCTCTAAACTAGCTCTCCCGGTCCAACCTCCTGATCCTCCTTCTCAGCTTTCCCGCCCTTCCACTCCAGGTTCTAATCCCACACAAATACTAAGCCGGTCCATTTCCGGTTCCTCATTGCGGGTATATTCATACTTTTCTCCCCACCTACTCCCCCGCCCCCAGCCCAATCCCTCCTTCCCGCCCTGCCTTGCGGCACCCACGAGGATGGAGGGGAGGGGTTGGGCGGGCGCGGTGTTACCCAGCTGCCCCTGGGCGGCGCTCGGGCCCGTCCGTCGCCGCTCTCCGGCCTGCTTCCAGGGACTGCTGGCGGGCGCGCCAGGAAGATGGAGGGCCCTTTGTCCGTGCTGGGGGACCGCAGCACCGGGGAGGCGATCCGCTCGCAGAACGGTAAGGGGGGCGAGGCGGGGGCGGGCCTCCCGACACGGCCCGTGGGCGCCGTGCCCCGAGCGACCCCCGAGGAGCGCGGCCCCGGCCCGCA